CCTAGCCTTTATGTAAAGTTATGTTTCTAATGGAGCCACATCAGTCCCTTAACTGATCCTTAGGCTTCACATTGGGCTACAGTGTGGGGGGACAGAAGCTATTGCTCCCTGTCCCATTGAACTCTTTCTATATTCAGTCTTGCCCCTCCCTAGGAGCTTTGCTCTGAAGGGATACCTTTTGTAAGTGTTCTACACCAAGATCCTTCCTATGGGCTCTTTGGGCTTCTCTTGCTATTGGCCTCCAGGCCTCTCAAGCCCTGTTACTGCTGCTGACTTAAGGGCTGAGCTTCCCCTATTCCACTGCCTTCTCCCTGTTGCATTCCCTGTGGGGGGAAAGGGGGTGTGTATTTGACCCTTGGTTTCTCATGTTAACACATCTTTCCTCCCTTCTGTGCTCCCTTTGCAGGTCTTGTCGTCTGAAGAGCCATCCTCCTTCCTGCCTGTGGTGCCTGTCAAGGAGGAGAATCAATGTGAGGAAGGGCCATCCCCATTTGCTTCAGCCCAGTCAATGCAGGAGAATGTCTCTCAGACTGGCAGAGAACCAGCCTCCTTCCCTGAAGCCCTGCACATAAAGGAGGAGCATGAGGGCTCATGTCCTGATGAATGGCTTTCCCCACTCCCCCCAGCCTTTTCTATAAAGGAGGAGCCAGTGCAGCCTGATGAAGAACAAGGCCTGTTCCTCCCAGTACCACCTGTGAAGCAAGAAAAACACTTCACCATGCTGAAGTCCCCACCCCGGGGCATATCTGACACACTAGTTATAAAGAGACGGGAAAGGCGGGAAATGGGCAGGTCAAGAAGGAAACAGCGCCTAGTGCTGCCTTGCTCAGAGGAGCCTCTCCTGGTTCTCCCTGAGAGCAGCAGCTCTGACTCTTTCAGGCTGGCATCGGACCTTCCCTACCTGCAGGAAACCCAGCCTCTAGAAAACATGTCACAGCTGAGCTGTTGCCAAGAAGAAGGTGGTCCCTTTAAAACACCTGTCAAGGAGATGTTCTGCAAGCTGCCAATTTCTTCCACCCCCAGCAAAGTCCCAGCTGCTACCCCACCAATGGGGGGGCTCAACCCTTGGAGATCTGTACCGCTTGCTAAGGAAAACAGCACCCTGGACTTCAGCCCTGTGAGAACACCCCTTCAAGAGAACCTGGATTTGTTGGGTTTCAACAGCACTCCCTTTAAGAACCCTCTCTTTGAGTCCCCCCGAGAGCTTCTCAATACAGAATCCAATGACATGGTCTCAGGGCCACTCCCAAGCTCTCCTGCTTCCAATCCTGAATCCACCAAACAGTTGTCATCCCCAGAACTGCCAGCTTCTGGCCTTCCAGAAAACCGCTCACTCATGGAGGGTCTCGTCTTGGACACCATGAACGACAGCCTGAGCAAAATCCTGCTGGATATCAGTTTTCCAGGCCTAGAGGATGACAACCTGGCAACAGATATTAGCTGGTCCCAGCTCATTCCTGAACTGAGATCGGCTGACATGAGCTGAGACCTGGAGACTTATTCTTACACTGCAATTGATGCTGGGCTCTACTGAGATTTGCTCAGATGGGATAGGCAGATCCCATAGGATGGCTTTGACTTACAGCCCATTGTACCCTGTACAGTGTGGAAGTATCAACACCTGCTTGGTTGCTGCTATAAGCTCACTTTATAAGCTGCAATAGATGGGGGTCTGGGGCAGGCTGAGACCTCTTAGCTCAGGCCTGAGTTATTGAAGTTCCTTGTTGAAGGGGAAAACCTCCAGGTAGGTGCTAAATGGCCCTGACACCCTGGAGGAAGTAAAGACTGGTCCCTCATATATCTGTGGCTTAGAGAAAAGTCCCAGACCTTGTCCTCAGCAACTTATTCATCATAAAATACACCTTGTTTGCGTTTTTCTTTAGTGTCTTGTCTGTAAGCTTAATGTCTCTGTAAATATTGTACATTCCTTAAATTAGTTGTAATTATAAATGTAACGTTATTCTTGTAGGGTTTTTATGGGAGTAGAGCTGGGTGGTAATAGACTTGGCTTTTACTGTCATCCCCAAACCCTATTCCCTCTCCCACTCTAATCTGTTGAGGCCTCAAGATTACTCTTCTAGGTCGTCTTTGAATTCAGAAACACACTGGTATATAAACCCATGGTCCTAAATGTTATTTGGGGCAGATATCTAAAAGATCACTTCCACATTCTATCACGGTGTTTTGTTTTGTTTTTTTAAATTCTAGGATCCAGGAAAAAAAACTTGCTCAGTCTTCCTCTCATAGTTGCATCCTTCCTGGCTACGGAGGAGGAAAACAGTTTCTCTTAAATTTAGTTCTGACTTCTCTGATGCTATAGCCCACTTAAACAGCTAGCCAGAGTTATTGCTGCAGCTAAAACTGACTTCTGCTGGATTGCTTCCAACTGCCCTAATCAGCGAGACTGACTGAAATGGTTAAGAGAATAATTGCACAGTGAAATCTCCACTTTAAAAAGTGGTCTCTTGAAACATGAAATACACTACTTGTGTTTCTCTCACTGAAGTATGTAATAAGGCTGCTGATCCCAATTCTCTACAGTTGATATAATAAAAGCAGAAAGTGCCATAAGATACCTTACCCTGGTTCTCCTGTTCAAAAACAGCTGTATGTCACCCAAGCTCTGTTTCTGCCTCCAATTGCTATTCACTGTATAAAGCCAGGGTAAAAATGCTCCACTGAGTACTGTCTTTGCTGCTGGTAAAGGTCCTATTCCCTGTCGCCATTTTTTTTCCTCCTTTTATGCTGCTGCTTTATGGCAATTCACTTGGGGTAGAAAATACAATAAGCAGTTAATTTCACATGCCTGAGGCTCATGCTCTGGTCCTGTGACCCTGCTTTGCAACCAGGCTCTAGCCTACTTTAGAGTGTAATTGGGTCAGGGAGAAAAATGGGGGGTTGTGGGGAAGAAGGATGAGTTTAGTTCTACCTTGCCTGTATCTGGAGCAATCCTACTGTGTGGATGTTACTTTGAGAAAAAAAATTGTTCAAGGGTTAGAGAACTATTCTGCAGAGAGAGACACCTGGATTTCATTCATATTCTGCCAGAGTTGTCCACTGTCATGGTGATTTGTGGACAACTCTGTGTTCCACGTTCTCTCTTTTAAAATGGAAATAGTAGTGCTACCTTGCCTTGTAGGGGTGCTGCAACGATAAGTTCATTAGAGTTTGTGATGAGCTCTGATGCTATAGTGACAAAAAGCCATGAGTGAACTTAAAAGGGATATGTCCAGTTCAGATGTCCGTGGTGGAAGACCCAGGCAGTAGTTGGCCTAAGCTTTTCTTTTCCTCTGCTAGGAAGAAAGCCTCTTTTTCCCCATCCTAAGCACCATTTAGCTTTTCGAGGGGAGGGGAACTAGAACAAGATGTTTAAAGATAAAGGAGGTGGATGGAAAATGCAGGGGAGCAAGGACAAAGGAAATCACAACAAAGGAAAGAGGAGAAAATAAATGGTGGCATCTGTGGCTGAGCATGGAGCCAAAGGGATAGCAACCCATCACGATGCCAAGGAGTTCTAGTAAAGACAGACTGGGAGATACTTAAGCACCAAGCCACTCTGGGATCCAAGCAAGTGTTAAGACTTGCAGAATAGAGAGATGCAGCATAGGCCCATCCAATCCAGTATCCTGGGGCTAGGGTGAGATAGCAGGAAACACTACAAAGGGCTATTAAAGAATTACATGTCCACAGGAGTAGTTTTCTCTAGCCTCCATCAGTTAGGCATTGGTTGGTACCCTGTGGACAAGGGTTTTTTTATGTTGAGAAAACTTTTCATATAACTGGCTGTTACAAGACATAGCTTCTTGCAGCAAGTTTCACAGGTTAACAGACTGAAAGTCACAAACTAGCCTCTAAAGAGCTCTGGGTCATTTTAACATTTTTATGTTGGCAACCCTCCTTTCTTCCTAAAAGCTCACATTAGGAGAGAAAGCCAATGGGGTTTTGGGGTCTAACTAAAATTTTCCCTAATGCCAATTGCCCCTTAATTATTGCACTACCTTCTTATTTTACTAGTAAACAGAAAGCGCCCTTGTAGCAATATGTAATATCATTTTCAGCACTTTGCCAGGGACTTCAGAGAACTGAATGCTAAGTCCAACCTATTCTTTCCCACTTTTTAATTACCAAAGCTTTGCTTGGTTTTTTTTATCTGTCAGAGTTACCTTAAAGAAAAATGTAAAGTTAAAGACGGATGCCTTCTATATCCTTGAAGCCAATGAAGCATTGCTTCCTGCACTGTATTTTCCTAGGGCAGGGGGAACTTATCCCACATCTTGCAGGCCAGATCTGACCCACAGAGCCACATCAGCCAACCCAAAGGGCTCCCCAGGGGTCTGGAAATTTGGCTGTGAGGAACATTAATTGCTGCTCCCTTTCTGCCAAATTTCCAGACGCACAGGGAGCCAGATTGGATAATATGGCCAGATTGCTTTAGTATGCAGCCAGATTGGGATTAGGCCTATGGACCAACCCCACAGATGACCCCACATGAGGTCCAGCCCACCAACCAATCCGATGCTATTCATCCAACCTGCAAAGCCAAAAGGTTGAACACCAACATCCTAGAGGGGTTTCAGTAATCCTGTAGGTCTGTCTCTAACCATTGTCTTTTGGAAAACTATCAGACAGGGAAAGATCATAACATGTCAGGGCATTTTTTTACGTTGCTCGGGTTTTTCTACTTTCCTTCCCAGTATTAACAGACAAACCCAGACCTCCTTAACTTGATTTCTGTTAAACTAATCCCAAGTGTCTGGGTACTCCAGCCTGCTAGTTAAATGCATCTTCTTTGCCTTCACAACATTCCAATTTTACATGTTTTAGACATCTCATCTTATGTTTTGGTTTAAATATATTTTCAGAAAGCAACACCTGTGACTGCTCTACCGAGAATGTTTCTTTTCGCAGACTTTCCCTTGCCTATATGTTTCTGTATCTGTGGAGTTACGCTGTCCAGAATGCAACATGCTAACTGTGATCCCAGTCATTCTGGCTTCCCTGCTTCATCATTTGATGTATCTGTGGGTGCAGTCCACATATTTGTGATTACCTGGTCCCTTTTGGTTCAAATTAGAGGTGAAGCCTATAAGAGGTGCAGAAACTTCCACATATTGATGTACATTCAAATAAGGAGACACAAGTAAGTTGAATCTAACCGGTTTGGGAATTAAAATGCAACTGTGTGTGTCAGTGCCAGGAAACGAGTAACCTGGTCTGGGGGGAACAATCATAGTTTCATGGTTTCTAGGGTCGGAAAGGACCTGAG